TCTGGGAATGGGGTCCTGCACTCTACAGTTTATCAGGATCCTAAGGAAGGCTAAAATTTGAGATGCGATGTTCTAAATGATTTGGGATTAGCAGAGTGAAGAGAGGTAAAAGAGGAGAGGACAGGAACCCCCTACGGGCTTTTCGGGGAAGTGGACCACCCAGTCTATGGGTGCAATGTCCCCCTGCATGGTCAGTGGCCTCTGATCGCACCCTCTTTATTGTTTGAACAGCACATAGAGACATTTTAAGAGGGGAAAAACAATCCATATTTCCGCCGGTCACACAGCTGTTCTCATTTCTTCACGTTTCTTCCACGCACACACATTTATATTAATGTCAAATGAATTGCTGGTGTGCTTTCTTTTTTTACATGTCAGTATACAGCACAGTCATGTCCCTGATTTCTTCCTGAGCAGCCACTGCCTTAGACGTTGACATGGTCACTTAAAACTTGCTGACTTTTTGAAAAAAATATTTTGTGAAGTTTCTTCTGCTGCTTTTATGTTTTCCTAGCACAGGCGGCTAGAGCTGTAAGACATGATTGGTACCTGGAATGTAATCTTTAGAATTAACATTCCTCGTGCTGGGCCTGGCCCGGACAGCAGGAAGGGAACAAGCCTTGCCGGTCACGGGGAGAGTCCCACGGAAAGGAGTCAGAGCCCTAAGCCGTCTTATTCTGGGAAGTATTTTGGCACAGCCAGGCTTGGTGGTTTATAAACAAGCTCTTTGTTTGCTAGAGGTGTTTGCAGCTCTGCTTAGAAGGAACTTACACACCCCCTTGGAGCCTTTCACAGTGTGGTTGCGATCTACCCTTCACCCTCTTCATGAGTACAGAATGGCCTTTGTAAACTGCCTGGGTTTGGGGGCACATCAAACATCCTTCTTAATATGTGACCTGCCTGCACCAGATGGAAGAACCCACCCAGCTCCCCCACCTCATTCACCTCTCTGGCTTTTCATAACGACCCTGCTCATCCGTTCAACACAATATTTCAATGGGTGCTTCTCTACTCCAGCACCACGCACCGAGAATCGGGCCGGGCGGGCAGACGAAACCTCGCAAGCACTCCGCGCCAGGCGCAGCCCGCGCCGCCACCCAAGAGAAGACAGTGACATTGCTGCCGCGCCCCGATGAAAAATGGAGCACTCAGGCCCACAGCAACATCGCACCTTAGGAATAGCTCAGCAAAGAGTGGAGGCAAAGAGGTTGCCGTTCACGGACAGAGAATGTTGGTGGGGCTGGGGGTTGAAGAGGAGTGGCAGAAGATGAGGTGGGGATATTGGACAGGCGTTAGGTGGCGAAGGGCCTGTCGTGCCAGAGCTGTTTGGTTTTTATTCTGTAGACACTTGGCTAAGAGTCCTCTCATTTGTCCATTCACCCACTAATCCATGCTGCCACCCAGCCACCAATCCATCCTCTGCCCAGCGTCCGTCCATCCATCCATCCACGCACCCAGGCCGGGTATCCTCTGTACCAGAAACCAGAGTTCTTCTTGCTTCTTTTTCCTGGGACTTGATGGTCTTGAGGTTTTCCTAGCAACTCTGTATTATTACTCTACTTCGGAATGACTCAGCCTTGCCTGTGTCCCTCTGCAGACTATTCAGGTGGTGAATAAACAAGGGACTAAATGGTCATGTGACAGTGAGGTTCACCTGGCCTGATGGTTGGGGAATGTGTTCCCAGGAGAAAGGCATCATGGGTAGGTGTACTGAGCACAGAATGATGCAGAAATCTCAGTCTGATGAATGATTCTTTCAAAAGTCAGTTATAAAGCTGTTAGAGCACACAGCAACACTTGCCCTGCACATCATTATGGTGTTTTGATGCACTCCAAAGTTTAAAATGGAATTGAGGAATTAAGAATGCACTATCTTGGCCAGGTATGGTGGCTCATGCCTGTAATCCTAGCACTCTGGGAGGCCAAGGCGGAAGGAACGTTGGAGGTAAGGAGTTTGAAACCAGCCTGAGCAAGAGTGAGACCCCGTCTCTACCAGAAAAAAGAAAAAAATTAGCCAGGTGTCATGGTGCACGCCTGTAGTCCCAGCTACTCGGGAGGCTGAGGCAGGAGGATCACTTGAGCCCAGGAGTTTGAGGTTGCAGTGAGCTACGATGACACCACTGTACTCTACTCAGAGCGACAGAGTGAGACACTGTCACACACACACACACACACACACACACACACACACACACACACCAAACCAAGAATGCACTATTTAAAAAAAAAAAACTCTATGGATTAACCTTTTGTTGAATTGTTCTTGAGCCGCTAAAAGTGAGAAGAATGAAATCTGACTTCTCCCTGCCACTTAAAACATGACATGACGAAAATACTCACATAAAACTTTTGAACAAGTGCCACCTTAAATGGCTCCAAGGAGCGACCGCAATCGATGCCCCGCCATAACGACCAAGCCCCATTCAGCTGAGGGTTTAGGAAGTTTGCCAGTGTTTGTGCTCTGTATCTAAATGATGCGGGATCATACTTCAATTTGCAACGCCCCTCTGTCAGAACTAATGATTATTTTCTTTCTAATAGGATATCTAGAAATAGAAACAACTGAGGAAAAAAATTTTTTGTTTTTTCAACTCCTGCTGACCACGATTGCCTTCCAAAAAAGGCGGAACTTGGCCTTCACCGGAAGTTGCTTTGGCAGGTAATAGAGGTGTTCGTCCAGCTCCTTCAAAGAGCCTAAGGGTAGTGCAGGGAAAGTGTGCGGAGTGGCTTCCCTGAAGAAGTGCAGTGATGGCTTCCAGACGGAAAAGATGTTTTGAAGAGAGAGAGAGCGAACGAGAGAGAAAGAAAGGGAAGAAAGCGAAGGAAAGGAAGAAGAGAAGAAGGAAAGAAAGAGAAGAAAGAAACAGAAAGAAAGAAAAAAGAAAGAAAGAAAGAAAGAAAGAAAAGAGAGAGAAGAGAGCGAAGAAAGAAGAAAGGAAAGAAAGAAAGAAAGAAAGAAAGAAAGAAAGAGAGAGAAAGAAGAGGAAGGAAGAAAGGAAGGAAGAGAGAGAAAGAAAGAAGAAAGAATAGAAGAAACGAAACCAGAAGAGGAGAAAGAAAGAAGAAAGGAAGAAGGAAGGGAAGGAAGAAGAAGGGCGAAGTGAAGGAAGGCGGAACGGAAGAAGAGAAAGAAAGAAAGAAAGGAAAAGCGCAAAGAGAGAGAAAGAAAGAGAAAGGAAGGAAGGAAGGAAGGAAGGAAGGGGAGCAAAAGAAAGAAGAAAGCAAAAAAAGAAAGAAAAGAAGAGAAAAGAAAGAGAAGAAGAAAGGAAAGAAAAAAAAGGAGGCAAGGAAGGAAGGAAGGAAGAAGGAAGAACAGAAAGAAAGAAGAAAGAAAGAAAGAAAGAAAGAAAGAAAGAAAGAAAAAGAAAGAAAGAGACAGAAAGAAAGAGAAGAAAAAGAAAGAGAATGATTTGGCCTCTCCCTGCGTTCCTGTGGATTCCCAAACCAAACCAATCTCCCGTTATAAAAAAATGTAAGCGAGAAAAAAGGGGCTCAGATCCTCCTTAACAGTCTCACCCGTGCGGGCTGGGAATGCGGAGTTTCCGGGTCCTGGACCGGCCGAGTAACAAGTGTCCCTGCGGGAGGCGAGGCAATCTTCCCCGCGCTTGTGCTTTTTACACTGAACCCGTGAAAGTCTAGCTCGCTAAGGAAGCGGCGAGCGCTGCCCCTCCTCGGGCCTCCAGGGCGGGCCCGGCAGGGTGCGTGCGGGCGGCGCCGCCCGGGAAGGCGGCGCGGGTGCGGGGTTGGCGGGGGGCGCGGCCGCGGCGGGCCGGGAGCCGGGGACCCGGGGCGGAGGCGCTCGGGGAACCCGCGCCCTGGCGCGCGAGCACGCGCCCCGGCTCCGCGCGGCGGGCAGAGCGCTGGGGCCCGCAG